GCGTTTTGTGTGTTGAAATAAATAAATAAATTGATAATAGAAAACACTTTATTTTTGAAAATAGAGAAATTCATAAATGAATCTTTAATTAAAAATGCATATATTGTATCAAAATATCATTTATTTTACTAATATTAACACACATTAATATGTTATAATACCTTGATAAAGGTTGGCGTTCAGCCAACTGAATTATTGGTAAAATAAATGATATTTTGGTCCAATATATGTCTTTTTAATTAAAAAACTTTACTTTATTCTATTAGAATACCTTTTTTTTCTCAATATAATATTTGATCGATATAAAATGTATATATTTGGATATACCACATAATATGTTCGGCATCCAAACACATTACAGTAATTCCCCTAACATAGGCTCCATCATTAAAAATCCACTATCTAAAAATAATTCTAATATCATAAAACCCACTAACAAAAAAGAAGCAATATATTCCATAGAATGCAACAACTGCCAAGTCAAATACGTGGGGGAGACAGGAAGGAGAGTCAGCAATAGAATATATGAACATAAACGCAACATAATAAATCAAGACAATAGATCCCTAATTTTCCAACACTGCAAAGAAACAGGCCACACTTTCGCATTAGAAGAACCCATAATACATTACAATAACATAAACAGCAAATATCAAAGGCTTATAATTGAATCTTTATTATCCAGAAAACACAATAGTATCAATAGAAAAATAGATTTGCCCGAAACATATAACACAATATATCCTAGTACCAGCTAATAATATCAACAATAATATAAGTAACTTATATGCAATAGCCAATAACCATTATAAAACTAACTTAAATATTAGAATTCCGAACCTATAAGATAATTCATAAAATATAACAAACAATAGTAAAATATGTAAATACCTTAACCAAATAAAAAACATATCTTAAGTAGAAAATAATATGCAAAAACATCCTAGTGTATATATGTATATATATATATGTACATAGAATCATAATAGTTTTAGCATCAGGCGGCGTTATAGTTTCTCGATATATTGTGTATGTTTCTCCTGTAGAAGGGCGGACAAGCCCGAAAGCTTGAGAAGACCAGAATAAAAGATACTCATCTCCATAAACGTTTTACTTTGATATCAGATACCACATAATAATTAGAAAAAATAGTACAAATGTGATATTGTACTGGGATAAGGTGCATAAATTAGGAAAACGGCATCTCCTTATCGTGAAACTGAAAGTTGCTGATAGCTTGCGCCATCTATCATCCATCTATCAACTATTCTTGTTGATTTTTAATTATTCCAGAATTTGCCAAATACCCATTCTTGATTAATCAAGAAAAGCTAACCACGGACGCTTTTCGGGCTGTTGGCCCTAATCAGCGTGGTGTAAGCTGTACCTCATGGTATTTGGCCAATTCTGGAATAATTAGATATCAACGAGAATAGTTTATATTTATTCCGATAGATGGCGCAAGCCATCAGCAACTTTCAGTTGCACGATAAGGAGATGCTTTTTTTCTTAAAATAACAATTTATTCATATTTTATTAATAATATTTTTGAATTAATACAAAAATGTGATATTTACACTTTTAATTGTAACCGGTCACATCCTTGGTAAATTATACACTTATGGTTATTTTTTTTTTTGAAGGAGACAGAGACAATTTTGTTCACACTTGGTTATCTCGTGTGTCTTCAATAAAGGTCACTGTGTAATAAATATCTTTCAGAGTTATTTTCGGAATCCCGATATATATGCTTAAAAGTACAACTTTCTCTTAAGTTTTGTCCATGAGTGTGTCTTCAATAAAGGTCACTGTAATATCTTTCAGAGTTATTGTCTGAATTCTGATATACATGCTGAAAGGTACAACTTTCTCTTAAGGTTTGTCCATGAGTGTGTCTTCAATAAAGGTCACTGTAATATCTTTCTGAGTTATTGTCTGAATCCTGATATACATGCTTGAAGGTACAACTTCTTTAAGTTTTGTCCATGAGTGTGTCTTCAATAAAGGTCACTGTAATATCTTTCAGAGTTATTGCCTGAATCCTGATATACATGCTTAAAGGTACAACTTGCTTAAGTTTAGTCCATGAGTGTGTCTTTAATAAAGGTTACTGTAATATCTTTCAGAGTTATTGTCTGAATCCTGATATACATGCTTAAAGGTACAACTTTCTCTTAAGTTTTGTCCATGAGTGTGTCTTCAATAAAGGTCACTGTAATATCTTTCAGAGTTATTGTCTGAATCCCGATATACATGCTGAAAGGTACAACTTTCTCTTAAGTTTTGTCCATGAGTGTGTCTTCAATAAAGGTTACTGTAATATCTTTCAGAGTTATTGTCTGAATCCTGATATACATGCTTTAAGGTACAACTTTCTCAAGTTTTTATCTAAGAGTGTATGTTTCTGGAATATTTTCTTTTATTTTATATAAGTATGATTGATTGAAATAAAATATATCAGCTTTAGTCGTTAAAACTGGGAACATTCTTCAGTTGCAGACCGACTCAGCTACAATATTGAATGCACATGGTGTAGGCCATGATAATCATGGTGTTTAGTTAGCGACTGGCTTTTACTGTAAGTACGCCACATGTCTAAACTTGTAGAAAGTAGTTCGAACTTTAAACGTATAATAGTGAAAGAAAAAAAAATGGTCGAAATTTGTATATATACCAGAATCCCTTGATACAATTGATAACGGTCGAGATTGAAAGAAAATATTGATTAAAATATGTGTATGATGATGAAATGTATGAGTATCATTTATATTGATTAATTTGAAATATAAATTATCCAGATTATGGCCTTAATTGTGTTAAAGAGAAGTGGAATGCGCTCATAGACAAAACTTAAGGAAGTTGTACCTTTTAGCATGTATATCGGGATTCAGACAATAACTCAGAAATATATTACAGTGACCTTTATTGAAGACACACATATATACACTCATGGACAAAACTTGAGGAAGTTGTATCTTTCAGCATGTATATCGGGATTCAGACAATAACTCTGAAAGATATTACAGTGACCTTTATTGAAGACATATGAGATAACCAAGTGTGAACAAAATTGTCTCTGTCTCCTTAAATAAAAAACAACCAGCAACATCAAAATATGAAACTTTAGTTTTTTCCATGAATGTATATAATATCTTGATAAGAATATAAAATATTTACGGATGTATTAGAAAGGATTAAAATATATGGACAACATATGTTTTCATTTGTTAATTTAGTTGATGAGAATACTATTATTGTAGGTAGGATTATGGTTTTAATATTCAAGATGTAGACTTATCAACTCTCAAAAGTTTCAATATTATACTATTTTTTGACGACCCCCTGTTACCCATCTCAAGGTTAAAAAGATAAAAGCTATCACTTAAATTATTTTAGTTGTAATCAATTTTAACCTTTATTGAAGACACACGAGATTACCAAGTTTGAACAAAATTGCCTCTGTCTCCTTCAAAAACAACAACAACATAAAACAGACAACATGAAAAATTTTCTACTTCCTTAGGTTTTGACCATGAGTATAAATAATTTGAAATGATTTCACAATTTAAATGAAAGAATAAGCACATAAATCATGTTACAGCAATATGCAAATAATCCTAGTGAATATTTCCTTTATATAGATTGTTGAAGAGAAATCTAACATGAAGCAATACAATTTGCTTATATACAATAAAAATGGCTTAATTAGAGCATCAAGTTTCACATTTTACATGTATTTTTGTTACCCTTTTTTTCACATGACACCTTTTTGCATATGTGTATTTTAAACCTTTGAAGAAGATTTATGTGTAAAAGTAAAATGTCGCTAACACGAACCATAAATATATATCGAACCTGTCCTTATAAACAAATTAAGCTCATCACAAAAATATTATATTATACCTAGTATATTGTGTTTTATTTTGAAAGGAAACACAAGGGTCAAAAATAGTTTGAATTTATGATAACAGATGACGTGCTAATGCATCATATGTTAATAGTATTATATATACAAGTACAAATTAATACAAAGCAATAACACGCCATCTATATATAACGAATGAAGACATTAAAACACGAATGCTTCTTTTCACAAATAAATCAAACTTCTACTGTCCTTATTGCGAAGAAAATAATATTGGGAGGGCTTGGCTTATCAGTGGTGAATCCTCCAAGCGGTTTTGCCAATTTTTTTAATCTACCAGACCGCTTCTTTAAATCTCTAATACTGTATTAGTAGCATATAAAAGCAGAATGATCTAATATAGTATTAGATCTCTGAAGAAGCGGTCTGGTAGATTGAGAGAGAGAGAGAGAGAGAGAGAATTGGTGAAACCGCTGGGAAGGTTCACCACTGATGAGCCAAGCCCTCCCAATATTTTTTCATCACAGTAAGGACAGTATAAGTTTGATTTATTTGTGAAATTAAACATTCGCGTCTTAATGTCTTCGTTTGTTATATGTACAAGTATGTTATATAAAAATGTTATTTTATTTTAAAATTATATTTTTCAGAACAAACTATTCTGTAAAGTAGACCACCAGATGTCGCAGGTTTCCCTATATAAAAACCTATAGTAGTTGTTTTCCCGTTGGCCGGCTCAAATCTTTTTGTAGATATGTAAATATATAATATTTTATTTTATTTATTCTTCAAGCTTTAAGTTAGGTAATACTTTCTCAAATTATGTATTTTATATTTCATAAGTTCAATTAAAACAAACTAGTGAATAATAATTCTCTATTATATCAAATTTAATATAATAATAGTCGACAAAATTTATTATAACATATGTAGCATACAACCAGTTTAACCGCATAAGTTTCTTTTTATTTATGAAAAATCATTTTTAATTTCAAAGATAAATAATTTAATATTTCTAACTTTTGGATGACGTATGAAAAGGTTGAATATATGAAGAGTGATGGTCTATATATGAATGGATGACGTATGGAGGGTGAAAAATATGAAGAGTAATGGCGAACGGAAAAATAAAAGTGTCCAGGAGCGGGAATCTGGACATGGCACCTGCCCGGTAAGCAGAAGGTTGTGGGTTCGATTCCCGCTCCTGGACACTTTTATTTTCCGTTCGCCATTACTCTTCATATTTTTCACCCTCCATACGTCATCCATTCATATATAGACCATCACTCTTCATATATTCAACCTTTTCATATGTCATCCAAAAGTTAGAAATATTAAATTATTTCTCTTTGAAATTAAAAATGATTTTTCATAAATAAAAAGAAACTTATGCGGTTAAACTGGTTGTATAGCTTTATAATTATACGCCGCAGTCATTTATAAGTATTATATGTAGCATAGTCATATGTTGGGCTATATATATATAATATACAATGGATAAAATATTCAAAGTCCCATTTGATATTCTCTTTATAGCAAGGTTTTATTTTAAATTGAAGTTGAAATCTTTTATAGGATTTCTTGGCTTCAACGTCTCCTGACCTTCATGAAAATGGCATAAAGAAGTTGACCTCTCTTTGGCAGAAGTGTTATTGGAGTCTATCCAAAATTTCCATTATTTCTGAAACAAACTGAAATATAAAAGATATATTTAGGTTATCATATTTTCAAATATAAGTTTATATACCAGGATTAATATCCTGATAACAAATCTCAACTAACATAAGAGATTCCTTTTCTACTTGGATAAAAATTAACGCAAAGCAATAACGCGCCATCTATACATATAAAAATGATCGTGCTTTTAAATCCTTTCATTTTATATGTATAGATGACGCGTTATTGCTTTGTGTTAATTTATGCCTAACTATCCTTGTCTTTATTGTTTGCGGAAGAGCATTGCTCGATGCAAATATTTGAATATAATTCTACTGTCCTATAAGCTTATGTCCATAGTTTTCTTGAAAACCATTTCTGAGATTCCATCCTTCAGTGCTGCGTATATAAGCAGAATTGGCCATTACAGAATTAGAGCTCTTAGAAGCGGTCTGGTAGATTAAATTGGCGAAACCGCTGGGAGGGTTCACCACTGATGAGCCAAGCCCTCCCAATATATTTTTTCCTTGCAGTAAGGACAGTAGAAGTTTGTATTTGGTTAAAAATGATGAAAAAACTGAATTACTATTTATTTTAAGAAGAAGAGAGTAATATCGAATATATAAAAGAATCGAATATATAAAGAAATCGAATATATAAAGGAAATTCTCTCGAAATTAAAGATACTTAGACTAGAGTAAATCTTTTTATTATAATAATAATAATAAAAAAAGATTTACTGGCCGAAGTATCTTTAATTTTGAGAGCTATGAATGCTGGCCAGATAACCTCTATCTTTACAATAGGAAATATTATTATTCATTTATACATATTATCAAAATTTCTATTACACTAATGAAAATTTAATATTACTTTTAATAACAATGAGCTAGGTATTTCTCTTCTTGATATGTCAAAAAATACTTGTACCAATGTTCACGTGCTACTTTAGTTCCGTATTTCATACAAAATTTTGCATTTGCCTCACTTCGCATTTGGTCAACTGCTTCTGGACTCTCAAATAGCCAATTTTTTATTTGGGTACTTAGCGCAAACATTTTTATTTATCTTAAAACTCAAATTATTTGTATGAAATACGGAACTAAAGTAGCACGTGAACATTGGTACAAGTAATTTTTTTGACATATCAAGAAGATATTACTTTTAATATGTACATTATATAAAAATGGATAGAAAGAATGTATTTGAAAAATAATCATTTCTTATAATAGAATGCTAATTATATCAAGTATGCGATGCCGGTATTCACTAGAATAATTGTTCACCAAAATCAATTATTTGCCCTGGCGGCAAAGGTTTGAACGAAGGAGATCTGTTTACTCAACAAATCTCTTCCTTGTTGATCAAACGGCGTTATCTCAGCTCTGTAACAATCCACATAGGAACATGGAGAGAGTCTGTACATTGTGCCATTATTGGGAACAAGAACATTAGTCCGTTTTACGAATGGGTCTTGAACAACAGACATTTCTATGCTTTATTAAAGTGTTTTACCAATATATTGTAGAACCTCCATGAGAGGATACTTGCGTTAGAGGACACATCTCTTCAAAGAACCGTTTTCATTTTCAAAATTACCATTTTTACAATTTAGCGAATCTCCGGACATCTCTCCCTAAAGGACACTTTGGCTCTGTAATTAGGTGTCCTTTACTAGGAGGTTCTACTGTATATTTATATTCACATATATTATTACATATATTGTCTATATTATAAATATATATATCAATTTTTTCTCCCCATTCAATATAACAAAATATTTTTTAAAACTTAATTCTGTTGACGTTATGAGGCGCTGAGTTTGTTGTTGACACACTTTAATTTTTTATAATACCTTGATAAAGGTTGGCGTTCAGCCAACTGAAATATTGGTAAAATAAATGATATTTTGATCCAATATATGTCTTTTCAATTAAGGATAAATATGTTTGGAGATGACTATGATTGGAGGGTTTGCCTGACTATTTTTTGGATACATGAGTATATTATATTAATAATATTGCAGTCGTGGTAATAATTAATAAAATAAAGGTTTAAACACAATTTAAATTAATTGGTCTAATGAACATAATTAAGAATGAAATACCTGATTTGAGGCGTAAAGAAGAAAATAAAAGATTACATATTAACATATGTACAAAAAGATTTGAGCCGGCCAACGGGAAAAAACAACAATGAGGTTTTATATAGGGAAAATCGCGACATCTGGAGATCGACTTAACAGACAAGTGTTTGTTCTAGAAAATATAATTTTATAATAAAATAACACTTTCAGATAACATATATTTTATATTAAAATATTATTTTATTTTAAATTATATTTCATAGATTCAAATTCTCTGCTAAATCGACCTCCAGAGGTCACGCTTCCCCTATAAAAACTCATTGTTGTTGTTTCCCTTTGCCCATGAACTTGTACTGTATTATAACACTAATGTACCCTTCCAATTTATACTTTCATAACCTTTCTTTAACTATCTGTTCACTCTAGTATCTATAACCTGTACATATCCGGGGCTTGACGTGCTCTCCTTACCAGACCCACCACTGAACCTTCTTAAGATGAGCCCAGAAAAGTCCCCAGATGGACTTGAGCGGGCGATGTAAGTGTAACTCGTCCACATTTTGGGGCGGATGTTGTTTCCCGATGGCCGGCTCAAACCTTTTGTGAATTATGTAAATAAGTTTTTCGTTTTTTAGATTCTTACGCCTTAAGCCAGGCGGTACTTTTATCAAATTATGTTTTTTATATATTACTTTAGTTTAATTAAATCAATTACCGATCTGAACTATTTTCAGTATTATTACCACAACTGCAGTGTCACATGCTTATGGATTCTGAGATCAAGAAAATGATCAATAAATCTATACAACTCTAATATTTTTGGGAGAGAGGCGCGCGGCTTAGGCGCGTGCTAACGTGCCACTGTTCTAAAACTACTTGTTTTAACTACATCTTTTCCCGTGGACTTAACGGTAACTTTTTAAAACTTATTTATTCCTTTTAACTTTCATGTATAATCATTTTTACATAATTTAGTTTTGTATAATTATTTACCATAATTTCCTATCATTAAATTTTCATACTTTTTGTTCTTAAAGATTATTTAAGACAATAATCTTTATTTAGGTGTTATTTCTAAAACCATTTGTTTGAGAATAAACGCTAAAAAGACTTCTCGGATGTTTTATCCCAATACATCAGGTCACCAGCGCAACAATATTCAAAAATCAACAGAAAATCTCTCTTTTTTTTATAGCATATATATGTTATATAAAAATGAATGAGATTTCCTGCTTGAAATTAGATCATGTTGAGGATTATGGTAATGTAATGCAGTCGTGGTTAAATCTTCAAAGTATGATCATGAAAAATAGTTTTGATCAGTAATTTAATTGAACTAAAGGAATATATAAAAGAACATAATTTGATAAAAGTAATGCCTGGCTTAAGGCGAGTAGAATAAGGAAAACAAAAAGATTATTTACATAATGTATAAAAGTTTTGAGCCGGCCATTGGGATAAAACAACAACGAGTTTTTATAGGGGAAGAGTGACCTCTGGCGGTCGATTTAGCAGAGCATTTGAATCTATGAAATTAAAATTTAAAATAAAATAATATATTTTTTATAACATATATATATCTAAAGAGGGATTTCTCCCTTCAAATGTACATCAGAATGATGACACTATATATACATATTTAAAGAATAGAAAAAATCAGGTGCTGATATTAAAAAGCAAAAAAAGGCTTATTCTGACTGCTCACATGAACATTTTGGCCTTAAAGTACCTATTGATTTAGCAGGATGCCTTTAGGACCAAATATTTGGCAAAATGTTTTTAACATTATCAACCGAGTTTTAATAGCCATGAAGAGAATTATACAAGTTAGTTTGCACATTTCCTTAATTGAACATCTATTAACACAAAATAAAGAGAAAGTTAATTAATTAATTCAATCTATTACATGAATGAGACCATTGGGACAAATTTGTTTAATTAAAGTTTATCTCTGAAACTTATAAATTTGTATTCCTTTGAAATATGGAAACCCTTAAACCTATAATTAAATTCATATACGAGAGATGACTGTCTATTGATTTGAAAATATGAGTCTTCATCTTTCTTATCTCCACTCAATCATATTAAAATATCAATCCTGTGGAACATGGCAAGAATCATGAATGGGTGAAGTAGAATGCCTTTGTCATTAAGTGAAGCAAGAAGTTGAATATTCTTTGAGTGTGAAAGCTTGTGAAAAATAGGAACTTACCCTCTATTATTAATTTGTTTATTCTTTTCTTTGTCGTCTGTTTTCACAATTTGAATCTGGTTAGAAAATGTATAAAAATTAGATGAATCTTTTGTTGCATTAAATACGAGATAATTAACTCGTTTCTATATATATCTAAAAATGTTTAATGTTTTATTTTAATAAAATAATTTTATAAATCTGAGAGTTGTCTTCAAAAACGATCCAACATTAAGACTTGGAGAACTACTCAGTAGCAGACCAAGAAAATATTAATG